TCTGGAGACCGCCAGATGGGAGGGATTACACTGCAAGTAGGATGGGTTTTGGGTTGGTGTAGGTGTAGTAGACGGTAATTAAACGCAACAGGTTACTGTGAGATTGGGTTTAGGGCTGGGGGTAGGTGTAGTAGACATTAATCAAACACAAGAGTTTACTGTGAGGGTGGGTTTAGGGTTGGTGTAGTAGATGTTAATAAAACACAACAGGTTACTGTGAGGTTGAGTTTATGGGTGGTGTAGGTGTAGTTGACATTCATCAAACACAACAGGCTACTGTGAGGTTGGGTTTAGGCTTGGGGTAGGTGTAGTAGACATCATTCATTCATTCATTTTCTTGTCGGCTTATTCCCTTTATTAATCTGGGGTCGCCACAGGGGAATGAACCGCCAACTTATCCAGCAAGTTTTTTTACGCAGCGGATGCCCTTCCAGCCGCAACCCCTCTCTGGGAAACATCCACACATACACACACACACTCACACGGACAATTTAGCTTACCCAATTCACCTGTACCGCATGTCTTTGGACTGTGGGGGAAACCGGAGTACCTGGAGGAAACCCACACGAACGCAGGGAGAACATGCAAACTCCACACAGAAACACCAACTGAGCCAAGGATCGAACCAGCGACCCAGCGAACTTCTTGCTGTGAGGCGAATGTGCTACCCACTCCGCCACTGCGTCGCCCCTAGTAGACATTAATCAAACACAACAGGTTACTGTGAAGTTGGGTTTTGGGTTAAGGTTGGTGTAGTTGACATTATTCAAACACAACAGGTTACAGTGAGGTTGTTGTAGGTGTAGCAGACATTAATCAAACACAACAGGTTACAGTGAGGTTGTTGTAGGTGTAGCAGACATTAATCAAACACAACAGGTTACAGTGAGGTTGTTGTTGGTGTAGCAGACATTAATCAAACACAACAGGTTATGATATTTTCTCAATTCAAACGAGTAACGGCTTAAACCCAGAAACAGTATTCCATATGCCACGACTTAAGACAAAGAGTCCAACCTATCTGCTTGTTATCTAGAAGACATTAAATAAATGAAAACTCCAGGAGGTTTGTACAGCCCACTTGATGCTGGAGTCCCACCTATTTGGACGGCCTCCATCTATACCCTTCCCCAAAATAGTGCTGCGGTTTGCTATTTTGTTATTTATGACATTGGAAATGGAAATAAATGTGTATTGTACCCAAAACAGACCATTTAGTATAACCAAGCCATTAATTTGTACCCAGTGTGGCACACACACAAGAAGAATTAAAGCCTGCTCATAAAATTTGACAAAATAGCTGAATGCTGACCATCCACATGGATATGGACATTTAATATCTCTTTGAAACTGCCCCTTTTTAGCTTTGATCCTAATTGTTCTATTTTGGTGACTGTCGCTTTAAATTCAAATGAGAAGAGGAGCTACAAATGCCTGTGTGTCAGCATAGCAGCAGATTCAAGAACAAGACTAACGTCCTATGCTAATGAGGGATAGATCGTCACTAGTGGGCGGGGCTTTCCCCTCTGATGACATGTACAAAGATAGAATGTCAGTCAAAGTGCTTCTGCAGACGGTTTTATCAAGTCTAACTATAAATAAATAAAATTAATACATTTTTATCAACTGCAAGCTAGAGATATTCACAGACTGTTGCCGCACAACTGTACTTAAACCCCATAAAAAGGTGATTTTTGCATAATAGGTCCCCTTTAAGAATTTTGAGTGCGTAAAAATACAGTTTTTAAATTGTATTTATTTTTTGATTCCCAGACCCAAAAGCTTTCTGACCTCCTCACGGCTGGCGGAGTCCTCGTCTACGATCTTTTACCAGAGTTGGACCGCATCCTTTCCAGCAACGAGCACTTTCTGTTGGGGGCGTGGCTTCAGCAAGCTCAGTCTCAGGGCGTGGATGAGCACGAGGCACACCTGTATGACATCAACGCACGGAATCAGATCACTCTTTGGGGACCCGATGGGGAAATCCTAGACTACGCCAGCAAAGAGTGGGCTGGTCTAGTGGAGGACTATTACTTGCAGCGCTGGGGGCTGTTTGTTAACACCCTGGTGGAGTGTCTGGACAGAGGAAGACCCTTCAAACAGGACGTCTTCAACCAGGCCGTGTTCCAGGTTGAAAAAGGCTTCGTCTTCAATCAGAGGAAATACCCGACTAAGCCACTAGGGGACACATATGACATTGCGCGACGGATCTTCCTTAAATATTACCCATATGCACTGAAAAAGACAGAAACGAAGAAGACTTCATGAGATTGAGTACGAAACTATTAATCAATAGCAGATTGTTGGCATTGTTAAAAACCAGCTATTTATCTTATCAACTTCCTATGACCTATTGATTAAAGACTTTTAAGTAGAAATGTCTGATTTGTTTATATATACACTACCTGACAAAAAGTCTTGTCGTCTATCCCAGTTGTAAGAGCAGCAAGTAATAACTTGACTTCTGGTTGATCCTTTGGAAAAGTGGCAGAAGGTCGATTTTTCTGTTGGATCATCTGTTGAGCTGCATCCCAATCATCACACACTGCAGAAGACCTACTGAAGACTGCATGAACCCAAGATTCTCACAGAAATCAGTCAAGTTTGGTGAAGGAAGAGTCATGGTTTGGGGGTTACATTCAGTATGGGGGCGTGCGAGAGATGTGCAGAGTGGATGGCAACATCGACAGCCTGAGGTATCAAGACATTTGTGCTGCCCATTACATTACAAACCACAGGAGAGGGCAAATTCTTCAGCAGGATAGAGCTCCTCCTCATACTGCAGCCTCCACATCAAAGCTCCTGAAAGCAAAGAAGGTCAAGGTGCGCCAGGATTGGCCAGCCCAGTCACCAGAGATGAACAATGTTGAGCATGTCTGGGGTAAGATGAAGGAGGAGGCGCTGAAGATAAATCTAAAGACTCTTTATGAGCTCTGGGAGTCCTGCAAGAACGCTTTCTTCACTATTCCAGATGACTTTATTAATCAGTGATTTGAGTCATTGCAGAGATGTATGGATGCAGTCCTCCAAGCTCATGATGGAGTCAGTCACAATATTCATTCTGTCTCCACTGCAGCAGGACTTTATATTCTATACTGGACATTATTTCTGTTAAGTGACGAGACTTTAGTCTAAGCACAGTCCCTTACTGTCCTAATGAAATTATTCAAATTCAAGCCATGATCATATTTTATTTGGGTAAAATAAGCGTAATCTAAGACTTTTTCTATAAGCCACTTTTGATACCAAATCATCAACTAGAAGTCAAGTTATTATTTGTTGTTCCTAAAACTTGAACAGGCGACAAGACTTAAGTCAGGAAGTCAGTCAGATATTGCTGCATTATTATGAATGTGTTTTTGAATACCACAGTGCCACTGAGAATGTCAGCAAAGCAGCTACCAATTGAGTGTTGAATTTTTAGGCCTGATTGAAATGATGTGTGTGATGTAGTATGCCTGATTAAACAATGCTTTTAGTACTCTGCATTTTCCTTGAGGAGACGAAAGCGTGCAGTAGCATTTACATAAAATAAACTTGCAGAGAATGACTCATTTGTGTGTCCCCCTCGAGTACTGTTCTGGCAGTTTTCTGTATTTTTAGTTTTGTTTTTCCACTAGTATTGAATAGTATTGATTTGTCTTCTTTTTCTGCTGACATTTTCAAGTTTCTGCTGATTTTTCAGGTTCGGGTCAAATATGCTGTGCACATTTAATCTATTTTTCTCTCTAAAGAATCTGTGAAATGAGGTAACGTGTTTACAAACAAATCGTGAAGACACTGTAAGTTTGCCACTTTGCGATATTAAAAGAAACTGGGTCACCTCCTCCCCCTCAGACCTGACAGACACAACTCTAGTCGGCCTACAGAAGGTGGCTAGCTAACATTGTTGTTGTTTTCTGTGTTGCAGGCTTAGAAATGATCCTGTCACTGAATAAAGTATTACTCGCTCCAGTAGTTAATTCATATCAGGAGCTTGCCCTGGATCTTGTTTAGACATATTTCAATCTGTTAGTAACTTTAGTAAACAAGCACAAAATTGTAATCGTTGTAGAAATTGCTGAAAGTGAAAAATTATTTTTGTATTTGTTTGTCAAATAAAAGCTGTACTTTTCATACTGATAGTGTGCCACAAACACTTTTTATTTGACCTTCTTATACATTAATTTTCATCCGCTTTTCCGGGGACAGGTCGTGGGGGCAGCACTCTCAGAAGAGAACTCCAGACACTTCCTCTAGCCCCTCCGGGACGATCCATAGGCGTTCCCAGGCCAGCCAAGAGACATAGTCCCTCCAGTGTGTCCTGGGTCTTCCCTGTGGCCTCCTCCTGGTGGGACATGCCTGGAACACTTCCCTGAAACAGATGCCCAAGCCACCTCAGCTGACTTCTCTCAATGTGAAAGAGCAGCGGTTCTACTTTATAAGGGTGCGCCCTGCCACCCTGGGAAGGAAACTCATTTCGGCTGTTTGTATCCAAGATCTTGTCCTTTCGGTCATGACCCAAAGCTCATGATCATAGGTGAGAGTAGGAATGTAGTTGGACCGGTAAATCGAGAGCTTTGCTTTCGGCTCTGCTCCTTTTTTACCACAACGCACCAGTTCATCGACTGCATTACTGCTGCCGCTGGACCAATCCGCCTGTCAACATCGCACTCCATCCTTCCCTCACTCGTGAACAAAACCCCAAAATACTTGAACTCCTCCACCTGGGGTAAGGACTTTCCTCAAACCTGGAGATTTACCTTTTTAAGTTCACCCAAAACTGACAATTTAGTCATCATTCACTTATCTTGTTCCAAACCTGTTTACGTTTCTATTGCCTGTTAAACACTAACAAAGATATATTGAAGTACGTTGGAGACCTGTAAGCCTTGAATACCATAGTATTTATTTTTCCTATTATGGAAGTCAGGATTTCAGCTTTCTACAATATCGTCTTACGTGCTCAGAATTAATACAAAGGTTTACTTAGCGAGTAAACATTTTAAGGTGAACCATCCCTTTAATTAAGTGTAGTACAGAAACAATTACAGGACAGCACAGTTAGCTTATGTCAAGTTAAAAAGCTAATTCAGCTACAAAACAACAGATGAACTGAAAAAAAATAATTTTACACATCGAAAGGTGCTCATTTTTTCAATAATGTTACTAATATCAAATAATAAGGTGCGATCTTTTCATATTTGATAATATAAACCAAGTACGCGCTATTAGTTTATTTTTGTAAACTACATTTCCCATGATTCTGATCAGGACAGGAACAGTTTAACAAAAAAAGAAGACATTTTACATCTAGTTGGAAATCTTTAACTATCGAAAACCATATTTGTTTTTCCTACTAGCCTATAGAAGTCAGGTTTTCAAAATATCATATTTTGTCCCTACTGAAAAAAAAATGCCTGAATCAGCCTAGGCTGGTTTAAGCTGGTCAACCAGGCTGGTTTTAGAGGGGTTTTGGCCACGTCCATGGTGGTTTCCATCCATTTCCAGTCTGGTCTTAGCTGGTCAGGCTGGAAAATGACCAGCTAAAACCAGCTTAACCAGCCTAGCCATGCTGGGAGGCCAGCCAAAACCAGCTATGTCCAGTTTAAACCAGGCTGGTCAAGCTGGTTTTAGCTGGTCATTTTCCAGCCTGACTAGCTAAGACCAGGCTGGAAATGGATGGAAACCAGCCTGGAAGTGGCCAAAACCCCTTTAAAACCAGACTGGTCAACCAGCTAAAACCAGCTCACCAGCTTTGGTTTTACAGAATTAAAACATTAAGGTTTGAAAGTACTTCAGGGCGAGTAAATAGTGCGTAAATTTTAATTTTTCGGTGAACCATCCCTTTAATAATGTCTAGTACAGAAACAATTAAGAGTACAGTTAGCTTGCGCAACATTAAAAAGCTAACTCGGCTACAAATCAACACATGAAGAAAAATATATAAATTTTACACACCGAAGGCGCTCGTTTTTTCAATAATCTATCGAACTTTAAATGATGCGATCTTTTCATATTTGGTTTCACAAACCAAGTATGTGCTATATTAGTTCGTAGTTCCCAAACGACATTTCCCATGATTCATTGGGACAGGAACTTCGGCCTCAGCCAATCCGCAGCCAGTATTCCAACACATGGCCGTCTAGGTCAACAGTTCGCTCTGCTGAGCATAAAATGTGTGCTATTTTCTACTCATTATGAGGAAGACTGGCATTAAACAGTTGTTTTCTGCAACATTTGTCCGCATTTGACAGTTCTCAACATCCTAAAACGACAGAATACAATAAGGTAGGTTTTGCAGAGGTATGTTTGTGTGTTGTTCCGGATCAGCTGTGTTGTTTTGCACTAATCTGGAAGCATTCGTGTATAAATATAAGAGGTCAGCTATTTTTATTGCCAGTAGGTATTGTAAATCATTCAGTTATTCAATTCAGTTATTCAGTTATTCAACTGAGCTGTCTAACGGGTCTGCATCTGTGTGTGTGCTTGAAATCTCTTTTATATTTTGGTCTAAATGTTATTGTTATTCCAAGTTGTATTGAATCTTAATCAGAAAGCAATAATCTGTTCTCTATGTTTATTATAGATTTCTTTACATGGATATTCAGTCAAAATGTGTAGAGTTATATTTCTATTCTGTTTGAAGATCGACATTCAATTAATATTCTTGAATTTACAGTTATAGAGTAAGATAGAAATATATACGTCCGTTTGAATCTTGTTATATAGCATTATTAATATTAGGGCTGCACAATATATCATTTTAGCATTAGTATCACAATGTGTGCATCTGCAATAGTCACATCGCAGGATATGCAATATTGGGATTATATGTGAGCAAGAACCATCTACAACATGACATTTGTAGAGTTTAACCAAGATAAAAGTTTATCATCTGCATGCGTTTTTAAAACCTGGGATTTAAAACCTTTGCATTTAGGCAGAACTTGTACACTTTGTAAATTTAATAAAGATTTATTTGAAATATTTACAATATATATAATATGCAAAACTGTAACAGCATACATGTGCAGTAGTTAAATAGTTTTCTACAAGACTATGAAGTGGTTTTACATATGATTATTAAAGATCAACTTCTGGTTAAATTTTATTCATATAAAAAATATATATTGCAGAAAAATCAAAATATCGCAATGTTAAATTTTTACAATATCGTGCAGCCCTAATAAACAGTTTTTGGTATTGTCTTCAAATTTTTAGCTTTAATTGTCAGTGTTTTTTGTTTTTATAAATATGATGGTATATGTTTTCCTTTTATTTTCATTTACATTGTTGCAAAGTAGATTAAATGTGAATTTTTAAAATTTATTTGAAATCTGTTTTAGATATATTATATTATATTATTAGAAATATATATAGTTTACTATTTTATAGTTTTACTCCTTCTTAAATACATTAACCCTAGTATGCATTGACATATACCATTACCATTTACAATTCTATAGCAATATACACATGCTTTCATGTTGTCGACGCCAAATTCTGACCTGACCATCC